GAAGGGCCATCTCTTGCTCAACGAGAGTCAGGGACGATTCGAGTTTGATACATGGGAAGCCGTTCGTCAAACAGCCCTCGGCATCTGCCACAATGCTGCGGTAAGTGCCGATGGCGATGTCTCCATGGGTGAGGGAGCAGAGAGCGCACAGCTACACGGCTTCGTGCGTGAGACCGTGGAGGACCAAGTGCACCGCGACTACGCATGGAAGATGGATGCCGTCTGAAGTGGTGGCTACCCTGCGCCACTCCAAACCACATCAAGAAGCGGATAAGCAAGGTGGATGGATCATGTCCTCGCTATCTCTCCCCAGGCCATAATGGCTGGTCTTATACCTCATTCCAGCCATGTCACTCCAGACGCCGTGACGGGCCCAGCCCTGCAGGGACGCCGTGGTGATATGTTTCTCTCGACGGCATCGCCAGGGATCCATCCGCCTGCGATCTACATATGCAGAAAACAGCCGAAATAGTCCCCTGATTAGACTCATCACGTCTGCTGTGCCACAAGGAATGCTGGGCAACGTCAGCTTTAGTCGAGGTTGAATGAACAAGGCTACTATTCCTTTGTTGTACGTAGACGACTAGCCTTAGTTGATCCTGTATCCAAGTGGCCCAATTCTATTTTTCTCCTTCATCCCTTCCTTTCCTCCCCTCTTCTCTTCTCTCTTCATCCTCCCCTTCACTTTCACTTCATCTCCAGCACCATCTGTGGAGTAGATCGGCGCCTGGTCAGAATTTATCCGGTCGCATCCCTGTCACCACCGAAAAAAAAATTTAGTTGAACAACCAGAAAACAACCCACCCGTGGAAATCGGTGGAAGACAGAACCAACCGATCGCTGACTGGCCCCGGGCTGCACTGCGACCCACGGGCACAGCTTTAGCCCGCAATCGCCGTTACATCCGGGAGGTCAATCAAGGTATCTCCAGATCGCGACTTGTGCAGCTTCCGTCATCCGCATCGCTCCCACGCAGCCACCCATGGCCTCCAGCCGTGATCAACCTCGGCCGTCTGACGTGCCCTCGACGCTCGCACCCGTTGTTGCTGTTGCTCCCAATGCGTCTCACCCTCCGCCCTCCCAATCCGCTGCTGCTACTGCCCCACCCCCCGCATCAGCATCGACTGTCGGGGCGGCACTTCTCCGGGATTATGCCCTTCATATAGAGCCCTCGCAGACACACAACGACATCCACCGGCCCGACTCAAACCCCAGAGCTCCCGGCTGCGCTGCGCTGCCAACCCAGAAGACTGAGCCGACCAGGGAAGAGGCCGCCGGCTGGCCGTTACCCCCACGTTCGACTCTCCGTCCATTCCGCCAGAACTCTCTCCGCAACCAAAAGGCGTTATCGACAGACTGCATCCCGCGCCAAACGATCATGAAGGCCCTGGCCTCGCGGTCGGCCTTGGCCAACAGCAATAACCAGAACGCGCCGCTAGCCGGCCCATGGACGGGCCTCACGGCCAACAGCTCCTCCAGCCAGGTATCGCCTCCAGCGGAGGAACGGGACCGAGAGCGCCGGTGCAGTAATACCTCGTCACAGTTGTCTGCGGCGCTCTCGAGCCTGCAACTAAATGGTTATCACGAGCGATCACCCGCCACGGCGCGGCTCATGTTGCAGTCACCCTGCTATTTCCACCAACGGTTCGACGGCGCTGTCAACATCGAAAAAATGCTGGAGGAGATTGCGGATGATGAATGGCTGTCACACTCGCGGCTGGTCCAGACTGCAACGGGAGTCCGCGAGGTGTCGAAGCAACTGCAACGACGGCCCATCAAACGCGCTGTTCGGAACGTTATGATCGTCACCAAGGCAAGAGATAATAGCTTGGTGCATCTGACCCGTGAGGTGACCGAGTGGTTACTCTCGACGCCTCGCTACGGAAATGAACTGGGTGTGAATGTCTACGTCGACGCGAAACTGCGCAACTCCAAGCGCTTCGATGCCGCGGGTCTGCTACAGAAGGACCCGCGCTATACACAAATGCTACAATTCTGGACACCTGATCTCTGCTGGACATCGCCCGATAAGTTCGACCTGGTCTTGACTCTCGGTGGTGATGGCACAGTGCTTTTTACTTCCTGGTTGTTCCAACGCGTGGTACCTCCGGTTCTCTGCTTCTCTCTCGGCAGTCTGGGCTTCTTGACCAACTTCGAGTTCTCCGACTACAAGTCACATCTGAACGCCGTTATGGGCGAGGTCGGCATGCGCGTCAATCTCCGCATGCGATTCACCTGCACGGTCTTCCGCAGGGACCGGACCAAAGGTGCCGAGGCGGGCGCGGTGGAGGAAGGGGAGCAATTTGAGGTTCTGAACGAGCTTGTCATCGACCGGGGACCTTCCCCCTACGTATCCAATCTGGAGTTATACGCGGACAACGAGCTGTTGACCGTCGTCCAGGCGGACGGCTGCATCTTTTCCACTCCAACCGGTATGTCTCACAAGCTTTGGTTACACATCACGCAAAACTCACCGTCGTATTACAGGTTCAACCGCCTATTCCCTTTCCGCGGGTGGTTCTTTAATCCACCCCTCGATCCCTGGCATCCTCCTCACCCCAATCTGCCCTCACACCCTCTCCTTTCGGCCCATGGTCCTCTCAGACTCGCATCTCCTCCGAATCGCCGTGCCGCACGCATCTCGCTCAACTGCCTACTGCTCCTTCGACGGCAAGGGCCGCGTCGAGCTCCGCCAGGGCGACTATGTCACCATCGAAGCAAGTCAGTACCCGTTCCCAACTGTCGTCGCCGACAGCGGCGAGTGGTTCACCAGTGTCCAGCGTGCTCTGCGCTGGAACACGCGCGGTGCTGTCCAGAAGAGCTGGGACGGCCGGCCGGACGGTAACGAAGATTTCGAAGACGAAGAGTGGGATATCGACACAGACGCCGGACTCACTGGGACAGATAGCGGGATTGGGCCAAGTGAGGATGGTGATGCGCTGTCTCCGAATCCGATGCGGAGACAGATGAGCTTGCTGAATATGTAACCTGCTCTCCATCTTCTCGCCAACTGTTGTGCTCGTTATACGCCTTTGCTTTTCCTTTCTCTCGGCTTCGGCGTTGCGTTTCCATTCGACCTTTGTCTTGCATCACTTGCATACCCTGTCTCCCTTCCTTTTGTGATTTTTTCTCCCGTTTGCTCCCATAGATCCACGAGTTTCCTTTGTTGATGAGTGCTAGAACTGAGCCGGCCACTGTCTTTTTTTGCGCGGGACTGGACTCGCATGACGATATGATTGGATTTTGACTGTTGCTAGATACTACAATCGCTCCGTAGCGGGCAAGAAGAATACGAGAATATGAGATGTGTGCAATATATGTATTTGGCCTAAATGAGGCCTAAGTATTGCTGCTTTTATACCTACACCCGTCCCAGATCAATTGGTATGCACGCACTATTACATCCTTCGATTCGTATCGAAGCCCAATGGGGCTAGTGTTGTCATATACATTAAATCGTATAATCATACATCGCATCGCCATCTGCAAACCCGGCAGACGACCGATCAAGTTAACAACTTTTGTCCCACAGGACTCGCAAGATCACTTTTGGAAACGAGCTGCAAAGAACGCACGACCCACAAAGAAAACACGCCGTCTAAATACGCCTCGATTTTATATCACCAGTCGCAGCCCTCAGCCAAGAGAACAGCCAACTGCTCCAGGTAGAGCTTATCCTCCTCATCGAAGCCCGATGGCTCGGTGCAGTCGATATCGATAATCGCGACAGTCTAACAACATAAAGTTAGTCAAGATGCCCACGCGCAGGCAGTTGAAAAAGAAGACCTACCTCCCCACGAACCAAGATCGGCACAACAATCTCACTCCGACTGTCCGCATCACAAGCAATATGCCCCGGAAAGCTCAAAACATCTGGCACTAGCACCGTCGTCTGTTTCGACGCGGCAGTCCCGCAGACGCCCTTCCCAAAGCGAATCTGCTGACAAGCAGGCTTGCCGTGGAACGGACCGAGCAGCAGAAGCTGCTCCTCGGGATTTGCGTACGTCGTTGAGATGGTCGAGATCGTCACGCCGTTGCTACTGCCAGAGCCGTGGGGCGTGTCGGGGAGGGGCGGGGATGAGACGGGCAAAGCGAGGGCGGGGAATTTGTCGTCGCGGACGTAGAAGCCTGACCAATTGACGGAGCGGGACGGAGGTGGGAGGGAGGCGTAGGCGTGCCAGAGAAGGGAGGAGATGTTGGCTAGATTGCTGACCTGTTTTCATATTTTTGATGGTTAGTCGTGCTGAAAGGAAAAGTTGAGCGAGTGGACGATTGAGTGAGCTTACCCAGTTGCGTTGGTCGGCGAGGAGGCCCTTGGCTTGGGAGAGGAGTTGGGTGTACACCTCGGCCTTGGATTGAGAGGGTGCGAAGTAGGAGGAGTCAGCATGAGGCTGTAGGATGGTGGTTGTTAGCTTTGGTCTGGCCTCGTCTCCCAGGGACCCGGATCTGCGATGATCCTCGCTGGTGACTACGGACGGGTGCTGGGGCCAAGGGTCGGAGAGGGAGGTAGCACTCACCATGATGGATGGTTTTTTTTTCTTCAGTGACAGTTCAGCAGGACAGGGAAATTGGAGATGATGAGAAGGAAGAGAGAGAGCGCGTGTGAGTGAGTGTGCTGGGAAGAAGAGGGAGGGAAGCATGCCAAGCAGTGGATCCCCTCCACAACGCCGAAACGCTCGGGTTCTTCGGTATGCTATCGTTGTTGACCGTTGTGCTCAATGCGGTATTCTTTAGCAGTCAATGGCCAGTGAGAGACGCTTCTCCATAAAGTTTCTCAGGGCCTCTGACGTCGATATCTCCGACTCTTTCTCGCCTCAAACCCTAAAAAGGCAACACTTCTCCGCCTGGGCGAATAGAGTGCCTGGCCCTGCACTATTGCCGGGTTCCAGAACTTTTGCTGACCCTCGCACGGTCGCACATTCTGGAAAAAATAGGGATCGACTCCTTTAAGCTCTCGGTTGTTTCTCCACTGCCGGCCGGATTAGGTAGTTGGTCATTAATCATGTTTGTTCCGAGACTCCGGCTCGGTGACCTGTCCTCGGCATGGTCCGAGACCTGGAGCTGACGAGCCTGTGCAACCCGTGTCTTTGCACTAGAATCGCAAGGAGATAGTCGACTTCGACGCGGAGGAGGAGAGAGCGGACTGGCGAGCCTTGACGTTTGCGGATGAGGAATAGTCGCTGCTGATGCTGCTGCATGCTTGTGCTTCGATCGCGTTCTCGTTGTTTCTCTCGCACTTCTCCGACAGAAGCTCCTTTGACCCAGCAGTCGGTTAAATTCATTGGCTGTTCTTGGACGTGCACCTCGTCTGGTGTGATGCGGACCACGGGTCCTGCGACGGTTTAGTGTAGGTTGAACCAAATAAAAACCGAGCCATACCGTATTCTCGATGCAATCGGCGGATTTCGTGCTCGAAGGATCCCTCTCCCCGCGCTGCGAAATATATCTCATATAGCCCTGTCATGGCGGCCAGCCGGGGACCGGGGAATCGGCTGAGCGGGTGGATATGAAGCCGGTAGACGCCCATGAGTAGGCTGTATGCAAAGACGCTACCGAGTAAGAAACAGGAGATCATGATGATTCTATCGTCTGGGGCGGCGTTGGTCACTTGGGTCAGCCAAAGCAAGCAACAAGGGAGTAGATTTCTCAATAATCCGATCCCATCGACGGCGTTGATGTTTAAGATATTTCGCTCTTTGCATGGTGGCTACTCCTCCTGCCACCGACTATCCTCGCAATCCCCGCCACATTTCCTATTCCATCTCAGCAATGCATGCCGTGATACGTACAACAGCATGGTTTTACACGAAACAGCCTGCAGCATCACTCCGCCCACGAGGTCTGATATCACCTATGCAGCATAACCCTCAAGTCCCGAGATCGAAAGCCCATATTTGGCTGCCAGCCCCACGGTCCGGGAACATGATCCAGCATCTGCTCTCGATAGGGTTCCACGACGGCCTGCAAGAGACCCGAACAGAAACGAGTCCCGATCTAGCTGTATCTCTTGACTGGTTGCTACACCCGGAGATGTGTTCCCGTCTTGCTTAACGAACGGGGCGAACCGTGGGTGCAGTTGCAGGTGCAGACCGCCACGTTCGGGCTTTGGGTTCGTGATGTATCCAATGCAGGTTGATGGAGCACGTCACTTTGCATGTACTTGTGTTCAGTTGTGGATGTGTTCGTAGCTTAAGCAGGTGCTCATCTCTCGACTCTTTGTTATATTAGACTGTTTGCTAATGATTTTGAATATCCATTTGATGCCTGTGAAGAAGACTTTTGTTTTGACAATATGGGAAAGCTGCCGACGCTGTGAGGCCGCCATTTCATCGTGGTGGGGTTGCAGAGGCCGGGGTTACACAACATTGTGGGGAGGATATAAATGCCAGTGGCGAGGCAGATAGGTTCTAAAACCAAAGCATTGGGCTAAATTCGACGTACTCGTATTCCGTGTCAAACTGCCCTTAATTGGTTTGTAAATCGACAATATATATATTGAGAGACGGTGGTGGAATGCCTCGCAAAATTGAATGAAATCGAAGGGTCTCTATGCCAGCGTTGGTCCTGATACAAGTCTCCAGCTCTTCTTCTTTAATGTTCACTTCAGAATAAAGGTTATAGTGCCTATATTAGGTTCGACCCTCCAAATAATAGTACAACACTAAGATGACAGACATGTTCCGTGGCTTAGAATCCAGCCACCACCAGTTAGAGACCTCTTTTAGCCAATTCATGTGACTCAGAGTTTTTCTCAATGACGCTTATATCTGAACCCTGCATGGATGGATCACTCTGACTGTGATTTGGTTGGGTTTGACGGGTGAGCGATTTTAGTTTCCCGTTTCGGCCCCCACGACGCAACGGGACTTCGACAGCCACAAAACGAATCAGGTGTGTCCTTTGTTAAATGGAGATAAGCATGGTCTCGTGCAAAGGTGAGGAGATCTGGTGTGCCTCGGACGTGGGCAATGTCTTTTGTCAACTGACGGGTCACATCGTTGCCCTTTTGGGTCGGGTCAGGTCTCGGGCAGAGTCGTCAGGGGTATTATTGACCTGAGCAGGTAATTTAATAATGAACGAATATGAAGAAAAGACATAAATAATTCATGCCAGCATTCAAGCATATCTAGTACTGAGTTTTACATTATGTTTTAACAATATTCTCGTCCAAAAAGCTTACAGATACATTCATAATCACCGAAGCTTAAGCGATCAGCTCTTCTCGTCCACTGCCACATCAGCTGCCTTCAGAGCATTCGATCCATCGCTTTCCCCCTTCAAGAAGTCAACACCTGCCGGACCTTTGAACTGTTTGCGACCCGTCGTAACCCAGGTAACAATACTGATGAGACCAATGACTCCGATAGCAGCACTGGTATAATTCATCGAGATATGGGTGACAGGGTACGTGCTGGGGAAGTTGAAGGTGATAGCAGCAAAAAGCAAGAATAAGAGACCAAGGAAGTTGAGCCCAATAGACACAGGCACGGAAAAAGCGTAAGGGCCATCGAGCTTGGTGACGTGACCCGTGAAATAACCGGCCAGTCGGCTGATCAAGGCCACCGCGTAGGAGAGATCTAGATATAACGGTCAGCACGGCCTATATAGGAATCACATGTGGTTGGAACTTACAGAATCCCTCTGTCGAGATGGCTATAACAGTCTCGAAACCGGTGGTTGTGCCGAAGTCAATTGAATTAAGGGCAAGTTGCACGACGAGAGTCAGGATAATGGCGTTCACAGGCACCTGGCGTTTACTCTCGACTTTGCTGAAGAATTTGGAGAAAGGCAGACCATTGTCCCGGGAGAAGGCGTACACTCCACGCGAGCCCTCAGCCAAAAGATTGAGTCCTGCCACGATGACAATCACGGAAATCATGCTAGACAGAATGCAGGTAGCGACTTTGCTATTGGTCGAGTCATAGATGATCTGGATAACGGGCACACCAGTGCTGGTTTTGGCAGTCTGGTCGATATTACCGATGCAGAAGCACAGTGTCAAGAGGAATGCGAATCCCGTCACTGCTCCCAGAACAACAGCTAGAATGATAGCCTTGGGTGCTTCCTTAGAGGCATTGTGCATCTCTTCTGTCATGTGAGATGGCGCGTCGTAGCAGCACATGCCGAAACAGGCTTGCAGGATTCCTATAATTGCGGCCATCCCCGTTCCAAAGCCCGTCTCGTTTTGGAACTCGGAGAAGACGAATGAAGCGGATTGCTTATGGTCGTTCGTGGCAAGAAGCACAATTGTGATGACGATAAACGACCCGACATTCCAGATCAGGATGAATTTGGCAATTCGGTGCAGCAAGTTCGGGCCCCAAATGTTGATTGCTGCAGACAGGATAGCGACGAGATAGGCCACCAATACGGTCTGCCACCGTGTGATCTCGTATTCAGGAAAGACAAGATTGGCCATTCCGAGAACAAAGTTGGCCGCGATATAGTTATTCGTTGCTCCCATGGCCAGGATACCTATTCTAGGTCAGTATTTAAGTGGATCATAACCGCCAGCCGCCAACCCCTCCCCCCCAAGAAACCAAATTAAAACGCACCAATATTCATAAACCAGCCTGTCACATAAGATAGACCACGAGCAATCTTTGGAGGAGCAAGTGCGGCGACCCAAGAGTACTGTCCGCCTGCCACGGGATACATGGAGCACATCTCCGCCATGGGGATAGCAACCGCCAAGGTGAGAAGACTAACGCCGATGAAACTGAACACCATTACTGGTGGGCCACCGGACGTTACTCCAACAATGAAAACACCACTCAGGGCCGTCCATCTGTTGAGGTTAATCCTGAAAGAAGCCGAACACGGCATGCGTGACTTACGATGTCACCACGCTAAAACTAAAGCCGATCATACTCAGCAAGCTGAACGACCGCTTGAGCTCTGCAGTACGTAACAACCGTCAGTTTTGTGTGCATTAAATCCGGTGATCATCGTACCTTGCTCATAGCCCAGCCTCTCGAGGCGGACATCTTCACTGGAGGTGCCCTGGAACACCTGGGTTTTCTCGTCGTCCTTGGACATGGTGGAGATAGACTGACGGGCAGTTGACTAACCAGGCAGATGTTGGGGGAACGAATAGTTTAAAAAGCATTGGGGAGATAAGGCTCCCCGGTCGTCCCCATATTCTTCTCGGACACATTCCCCATGAAGAAGCAGATAAGAAGATAGATGGGCAGCGTGACATGCCCGATCGAGAAGGTTGGGGCGACATAGTGGGCCGAAGCTTCAATTTTAGTCTGAATAATTGCGGGGGCTCGGGAAGGTGCCGATAAAAAAAGGGAGCCGATAGTTCTCCATTGCTATTGTTATTACTTAACGTGGGGCATCTTTCCTATTATTCTCCGAAGGGAACCCGGATGTGCGTATCCACCTAGATCTATCATTTGAGAGGGCCCCTGGGGTCGGGTATCGTCTAGAAACAATATGCAGAAAGACCCGATTGGGAAAGTAGGGCTAACCCTGGCCGGAAGAGAGCCTTCAGGCTTCCGAAGGCCGTAATGACGTATGGTCTTTGCAATACAATGCCTAACATTATCTGCAGGAACTCTGAGCTAATTTCGAATTGAATTTTGATAGAAAGTATTATCGTATTTTGCAGATCATGTTCAATTGTCCATCCATTGGATTTTCAATTTTATCCTCTTTTTGCCCAATAATTCTAGGTCTGCTGGTGTATCAGCATTACACCCCTAGCATCCGAGCCGCCAGAGTGGGCTCATAACGGCTGTCCTCTAGAACTGCCGCGTAGTAAATCAGGCGCTCAGGCCCGGAGACGGATGTCAGGCCTTCCGCGCCATGAAGAGGGAGGCATTTAAATTAATAGCCAGAGCCCTCGGCTCAATCTGAAAGTCTCCTCAGTATTTCCTACGCCCATCCAAAATAAAATGTCAGAACAAATCCTCGCAGGCAAGACCTGCCTCGTCACCGGCGGAGCAGGCGGACTCGGCAAAGTCATCGCCACTAAATTCCTCGAAGCCGGCGCCAGCGTGGTTATTTGCGACGTCAACGATGATCGGCTGCAGCAGACCACGACAGAATTGTCGTCCAAGGGCCCGTTCAAAGCCATCAAGACGGATATCACCAGCCAGAACGAGGTCCAGAGCCTATTCGACCAGCTGATTCAAACATTTGGCAAAATCGATGTCCTGGTCAACAATGCCGGCATCATGGACAAATTCGACCCGGTCGGCGACCTTGACTTTGAGCTGTGGGATCGCGTCATGGCTGTTAATCTCACGGCTCCCTTCTTGTTGAGCAAGCTCGCTGTGCGGAATATGCTGGAGCAGCCAAAGCCCGATGGTCGTATCATCAACATTGTCTCCGTGGCTGGCAAAGCCGGATGGGCTGCCGGTATGTTTTCAACCTCTTGCACTAGGCGATATCAGAAAAGACTGACTTAGCTCCCGTAGGCGCTGCCTACACCGCTAGCAAGCACGGTCTGGTCGGTTTGACCAAGAACACCGCTTCATTCTACGGCAACAAGGGCATCCGCTGCAATGCTCTCATGATGGGCGGGATGCAGACTAACATTGCCGACGCGCTCAAGACTGGCATGAACATGGATGGGTATGGGCTTGCGGCTCCCATCCTGGAAGCTGTCAAGGCGCCTATGTGTGACCTGGATGAGGTTGCCGGGTTCTGTCTGAATATGACGTATGGCAAGGGGGCTTCTGTTATCAACGGTGCATGCATAGCTCTTGATAATGGATGGACTGGTATGGTTGGTTGAACAATCCTTTCAAAGACCTGATGTTGGCGATTGGACAAATGCATAACAAGCCCGGCTTGGGATATATCCATTGAAAATAGTTGCCAGATTCCTCTCTTTCCTTAAACAAGTCCCACGTTACTCTTGATCCACCCTCCAATCTCCCTACAAGTTCCTAAGTCTTCAACAACGGATTCGGCTGAGGCGGCGCTGCGGGCCACTGCTCCGCTCCCTCCGGAATAGGCACAACAGCATGCTGACACCAAATATGAACAGCAGTGCTCATAATCTGTTTATCCAAGTCCAAACAGCCCCCCTTCACATTAGCAATAGCCGTCGGACCGGCCTTCTCCCCAGGTGCGGGCACCATATTGCGGAAGCGATGCATCACCCGCGCACCACAGTTCTTGCAGAACAGACACTCCATATCGCGACCGTTGAGTGTGCGCCGTGTGTAGCTTCCCACCAGATTAGAGACGGATTCCGGGAGCTCGAAATAGGGGAAGATGGCGCTTATGCCGAACGCGGAGGAGCTTTGGTGTTGGCATTCTGTGCAGTGGCATACGTTTATCCGGAGGGGTTTGTCGAGGGGTGTTTCGAATGAGACTTGGCCGCATTGGCAGCGAGCTTTCATGCCCATTTTGAAATGTTGTGGTTGGTATTATGTTCTTCGTGGGGTGACTGAGGGATAATATACGAGGAGGAATACGAGGTGGTGTGAAAGGAGGTTCTCGGTGTAGTCGGTTACAAATCGGAGGCTTGCTTACTTATTGGTAGTCGTGGACAGTTGGTTGTAATTGGTGGGCATCTCTACCTATTGCGTGGGTGGTCGCAAAACCTGGGCGTGGGCTGGGAGTTCAAACTACATCCCGCTTTTCTCCAAGGTACGATTATTCTGCTTGATATGTACAGCTGGCACGTAATGCTCTCAACAAGGTCAGCTGTAAGCAAAACCCCCCAAGGGGAACGTTAAACCCTCACAACGTTCAATGGCCGCGAATCGACACGTCGTCAGAAATTGAAGAGCTCCGTTGTGGTCTTGCAGATGCTGAACAGCAGCTTCCAGCATTTCAGCAGCAGCTATCCAACATTTTTTATGGTCTTCATAAGCATTTTCCTTGGCCTCGGAGCCCTGCAGGACAAGACATTATTCGCGCGTGGAGACCCCGCAAATACAACTAGCAAGCTTTGGCCCCGAAAGTTCAAAGTCTGAGACTCTTTCTAGAGGGAACAAGAGGAAATTGGCGATTGCTCAGAGAAAGGCGCATTGAGCACGTCGAGTTCCCGAAAAGCACCCTAGAAGTCAAATTCGATTTCAGGCCTGTTTGGCAATTTGCGATCGGGAGACTCCAGAATTGTAAAGGCCCTGGAGATTTTAAAAATTCAACGACTATCGGAAAATGGGTTTTGGAGCAACTTTGCCATTTGCATAGAGGTCGTTTAGCAGGAAGAAAAATATTCGAGAAAGGTTCTCGAAACCGGGGGGTCCTGTAGACCCTGAAACATGTTGCAAGATGGGAGGGACCACTTTGGGGGCGGAATTTGGGAAGGATCTATGAATATTCAGAAGCGACTTTCTCAATTTCCTTTGCGGAGTCCATTCGGCTTTACGAGGTTGTGAACGGTCCCAGTCGTCTCTAAAAATACCTTTAGCGGCTCAGCCGCAAATGGAAACCACCCCCAATCAGTACTCCACAGCGTTAAACGAACTGGGGCCCCAATATGTTGGCGTGTAGCGCTAAGCTAAGAAAAGGTTAATCATGTTTTGCCGCAGTAGCTAAGCCCCTTGAACAAGGACCTCTCTTTGCAAGTATAAACTACAAATCTACATGCACACCCTTAATTTTTATTCTCCATCAGTTGTTCTATTTCTTTACTCCACCATCGGGTTTTTATCCAAGACCTTCATCTACACTACCCAAATGCTTGCAAAGTCTCTTGTTATTTTTGGCCTTGCCGCCGTCGGCTCTTCATTCTCCTTTCCAGATGGCCTGCCAAATGGGTCCTATCGAGCCTACTACAATGAGGTCGGCGAAGAAGTCCATGAGCTGATTGAAGCAAGCTCTTTCAATAATACATCTTCACAACCGGCGTTGCCAAAACCCCATTATTCCCAATCTAAGCGAGCGTCTATACAGACCTGGTGCGGGTGCGACAACTCTATGAATGCCGGCGATACAAATGTTGCAAATGCAGGGCTAGCAGACCAAGCGGCTGCGTATCCTACTATTTTGCCTGGCACAGCTGTCTACACAATCCAGAACACTGCCGTTGCGTTTGTGTGCAACGTAGATGACAAATCTGCAAATATCCCCACGGACGTTGTTAGCACTGGCTCATGGGATGTTTCAGCAGCCTGCGGCCTATTCTATGCTGGTACCTCCCGCATTCAGTGGCCTGAAGCCCTGGATTATGGGTACATGAACTACGCGCCAGGCCTTGACTTCTGTCAGGATGCCGAAGAATCGATTTCAAGCACTTGCCAGGTCAACTTCTGGATTGGCGGATTCAGTGGGGAGTTTGAGGCTGGAGCGGTTGACGAACCCAGTGATGACAACGAAGTTAGTAATTTATCTGCAGTTCATGGACGCGGCTCAGCTCAGGGACATACTAATCTTACATTCAGGGCGGTCTTTGGGTTGGAAGTGCACTGGACTGCAACGATGTGTCTATGGGAGCACCTTTCTCGGATGATGTCGACAATATCGGTGAAGAGGAATATAACTGGTGCAATACTAACTTCCAGGTCCCGGGCCAGACCAACTTGAATGTGTACATGGGTGGCGATGGCAACAGGTGTGGGCAAGTGTGCAACAGTGCGGACGCCTGCCCTGACGGAGGTCTTTTTGCCCAGCTGTTCAATGCTAACGGCGGCGCACAAATCGGCACATGTACCTGGGACTTCTCTTGGAACACCGACTGCGTGTCTGATGGATCCCTGTTGTACACTTCGCTAGTCCACTGTGCTTTCACCCCGTAACTGCGTATGTTCTCGAGCCCTTCATATCTCCCATGACCGCGTCCGTCGATGAATATCACAGAAGACTAATTATCATGGAAGAGGTCCAGAAAAGCCTGTGCTACGCTACTTGTGAACATCTTCTACTTGTTTTCCATTTCAGACATCTTCAATAACCTCATCTAGCGTCATCCTTGTCGGCTTTATCGCGCCCTTATTATTATACCTCATAGCAAAATGTATCTGTCGAGAGCCACCGTTTGTGGCATCTTTCATGGTCGAAAAAGACACAGATCGGTCAACACCCAAAAGAAAATATATTAGAGCGTCTATCGTATCTCCGGAAAAGTACGACTCTCCAAGGGTCTTTTAGAGTGCGAAAAGATTTGTAGTGTTCCTACAATCCTCCAAAATTAATTATAATAGCCTCACTATCCAAAATTGCAACCTCCACCTCCCCATCAGTGACAGTATATGTTTCCACTGGCACCACACCTTCCACTGAATGCCCTCTGCCTTGATCAACTGAGTAGCTCCATTCCTCACCGGCCCAGGTAATACTCTGTTCTGGTCCACCGTAGTCGAATCCCATCGCCTGGGCTCCCGCAGCAGACTGTAGGCGCCGCACTGTGTAGGAGATGTTGTTGACGGGAAGTGGGAAAGAAACGTTTTCCAATCCTCGATTATTGGTGCTTTCACCTGCAACCCAGACGCGAAGGTTAAGCAACGCGACTTTAGAAACAGCGTTGGTGTTTGCATCATAAATCGCGTACGCAGTAAGCGTATCTGATCCTAAATCTACTTCGGCTACCTTGCCTGGCTTTTGCCCCAAAAAGTCTGCGATAAACGGTAGGGCATACCAGGGGGCACGTACTTGTGGACCAGGATTCACATATCCGGCAGAGTTGTCTGGGACCCAGTAGCTATGCAGTGCTGCAGGGCGTTGCGTAGCATCAACTCGAGCAACGCCCTGTGTCAAACTGTATAGCCGGAAGTCAATGGACCAGAGTGCCGCCCCAAAGCCGCCCTGGACCGCGATAGCACTCCGTAGCCCAGAACCAGTTTCGCTTAGCACAAAACGGACCTCTGGGTCGTTTGTATTCAGGTAGTCGATTTGAGAATTGCATGAATCAAACAATGAAGTGGTAATAGTATGGTTCATAAGATAAAACTGCTGTTGCGCTAGAGTAGTGCAGTAATTCTGTAGCTGATACCAGTGTAGAGCGGCAACTTTGACATTCCCAAAGCTGTTGAGGCCGTCTTCAAATGCGTCGATTCTGGAAAGGCATTAGTATTTATTACCATGTTAAGGGTTTGTAAGAGAACTACATACAAGTCAGAAGGACGGCTTCCTGCTGCAAGATTAAGAACCTCATATATATTATTGCCTGATGTATAGAACCCCAATGTCTGCGAAATATAATTCATGACAGTTTTCACATCGTTGACATACTGGCCGAGGGTATAACTGATCCTGTACTGTATAGGATAAAGATTAGGCTCGTTGCCGATAGCGACCGCAGCTAAACGATCTTCGCCGATGTTGTCGTAGGCTTGAGTGGCATAGGCAAGAGTGTTTGAGATATTGAGGACAGGACCTAGTGGGGCCTGGAAAGTCATGTTAAAGCCTTGAAAGCCCTTAAAACCGTTGAAATAGGTAGGCCCTAGTATGTATGTCGCTGCTGAGCCAAGTGGACAGTCACCAGCGATACAGACTGCCGTTTCTCCCTGGCTTGGGTCGAAGAGAACACGGTCGCCGCTAGTCCCACCAATGCGAATTGTTAGCGGTGTGTTAAGCCGTGTGGAAACTGAATTAAGCATGTTGTAGCTAAAATCGTTGGCAAAGTTGTTCATGAACGCTGTTTCAAACCCAAAGCCAACGAAATCAACAGGAGCTGGAACAGCGTTGTCGGGAGCTTCGAACGGCAGCTGTGCATTTGCTAAGGTGATCGCAGCGAGCAGCGCACATTGCGCAAAATGAGGTTGTAGATGCATTTTTGTTGGGGCTTTGTCTGCCGCGGCCGAGCAGGAAGAAAGGTAATTAAATGCAAATAATGATGTGCAAACTGCGTAAGCCCGACCGCAGCGATATCTTGTAAACGTAAACTCTGATAAAGTCAAATGCAGGTTCCAAATTGCAGAATTCCAGACCAAACAGGCCGATGGGCCGATTCTATGCCAAACGCGGGTATTTATTGCGTCAACGACTCACCACTGTGCCCTACCGAGTACTATCCATCGGCTACGTGTTTTGGTCTAGAATACAAAGAAAAGCCAAATTGGAACAGACCAGCGACTAAATATAACCTAAAGGCATAACCAATAAACGTAAGCAATGCAGGTGTTTATGTCGCCAGATCCGGCTTTTTGTGCAGCGATACTCAAGCCTCATGGTAGGGGCGGGTGCCATACCACAACAAGGTAGGGAGCCGAATCCCCCGACACAAATCGACTGTACTCCATTGTAGCAAAATCCATTTGTGATAAGAAAGCAGTTCCAAAAAAGCCGTTTCTGGCGTCCTTCAAGGCCATAAAAGGCGTCTGCATCACGCATTAGTTCCTCACTACGACTCTGCGCGCCCTGTCATACTTCCATCTCCCTCCATTTTGTGAGGACCCCGAAAATGGCACGGTCCCGCCAGCACTCATTGATCGCTCGGGTAAATAGTGTCAGTGACGTAAAACCGTTGCCGCCTCGATCTTGATCCAAAACGCCAACGGAACGACGGTTTACCTCTCTAAGCCTCTGAGCCTTCATCTTCAATTATTCAACCATTTAGGCTTGCTACACGCACTACGAGCGTTTTACAGGATTTTCAAAGGCGACAAACGCAGAGAATATGCCAGGACTTATCAGGGCCGAAGCCAGACCGATCCCTGCATCAGCAAAGCCCACGATAGCCTCAAAGTTTCGGTACGCTATGAATATAGAGGATCTCTAAACAGGACAAGCCCATCACAAAAACTATGTGAGATATTGCATGGGTACGCTGACTATATCACTGGAGTGATATGGTCGGGTCCTCGACATCCGAAGATAGCGTAGATCAATATTGCAGCTAAACAGTAGATAATCCTGGCCCATGTTCATTTTGCATGCCAGTCTCCAGGGTCTCGGAGGAGCTTGTAGATATCCCGAAGGTCCTGATAAACTTAGGCCATGTGTTCGTAAGAACAAGGAACTTGATGCTCTGTATCGCATCATCGAAGACAGTCGCATCGAACTCCTCGGGAATATTGCCCCAGTACGGTGCTCGGTTCTTGATATCATCAAAGGACGAGCTACGGATAGACTTTTCTAGATCTTCCGAAGAAACTGATGTCGAAAGTTGCCCAAAGGAGAAGCGGGAGGTGTCAAAGGGAGCAATGGGATTAACTTCGCACTTGTCGCCGTACAGCATTCGAGTGGGGCTCTCGAAGATCCTTTCGAGCTTCGTACGATCTTTAGAAGTAATATTAATAGGAAACTCGGCCTGACGAAGACTGACAAAATCGGCGTAGATGTGCAAGCCGCAGTTAAAATGCTCGCGGATAAGCTCCCTGACCTTGTAGTCACTGGGGATCGTACTATCCGGGCCAGCCGGGGGCAGGGACCTCTTCCATTCAGCGACGGTGGTAAGAAACGCAATATTCTCACCGGAGAATTCGCGGAGGGCAGCGAATTCCTGAAGAGGAGCAGGATTGCGCTCAAGGAAGCACTCAAGAGCGCTCATAGTCAGGATACTTTCATCAAAGCTGGCTTTAATCGTGTCGGAGCCCTTCCTTGACTTCAAGCCAAAGATCTTGTTCTTGACCATGGTAGATGCAGAGATGAAAGATCTGGATCCAGAATTAATGGTCTTATTTTTCGATTCCCGTTGCGCGATTCCGTCGAGAGTCGCCCGGCGGAGAGACTGGTGGCGCATAACCTCCCAGCAGGGAAGGAAGACGGTGAATATTTCCATGAAATAGATAGAAAGGCAGATCCTATCAATGTGTCAGGCCGATAAAAAGCTGGTCTCTGGACGCATACCACTGTGCAGGCAACCAGTACTTGTTGACCGGCGCCATACCAGGAACATAGAGAGCGATGAGCCACAAAGGGATAGCAGGCAGGCTGCGCGAGATATTAGAGAAGAAATTTCTTCAGTCATCAAACTCACTTGGCGAGAGCACAGCCAATTGTTTGAATCCGCCAGCCCTGCGTATCGTGGATGTTGCGAGACTTCCATAGAACCACGGGAGCAATGATCCAGGACCAGAAGAACTGCCAAAATACACCAGGCCACCTGAATACGTGTTAGGTATCATCGAACAAGCGCCATGCCTTATGCTGGTCTTACCATTCCCAGCCTCGACCCATCTCTATCTTCTTTTCCTTGGCGGTACCATGAACCTCAGTGCCGGGAATGCCCCAGGAGCTATGCCACTTGCGAGAAATGATGTACATCAAGGCAGTGAGGAACACCTGCACGACCGGTTGGAAACGGATTAGAGCAGGAGCTATCGACATACCTGAACAAGCATTGATATTCCAACAACGATGAGGACCTTGGCGGTATAGCTAAGACGGCGAAAGCGGCCGATCAATCCATTCTTGCTCCTCAAGGCGGGACGGAAATCTATAGGATGGTTGCCAGGCTGGGCATATTTCTTTTGCTGCTTGGCAACGTGGAGGAACCGACTGTTGGAAGCGTGGAACAGGGCAATGCCACAAGGCAGCCATGTGCCCATGATCCAGTACTCGGAAACTTGAGGTTCGACGGCATCGAAGGTCGAGTGGAACTGAACAGACATCCAATACACGTGAAGAAGCACGACGGAAGAGAGTGACAACCCGAGGCCTCGGACCCGCAGAGTAGGGGTATTGCGATGAGCGATGAGATAGGCAAAGCCTAGCCCTATTGGGACAGTCCATACGCATGCCCAGCATATCCACCAGATTTTCACTGGGGTCATTGTGAGCTCGGGCTTGGAGTCGGCTTTGAGTCCCGGTTCTAAACCCATGGTGACTGCCTTGACTGCTGAAAGAAAGGCGTGAGGAGGGTGTTGGAGTTAGATAGCCCTTGTCAGACATGGTGGCGGGAAATTATGGCCATTTTCAACAGATCGAAGGACCTACGCAATCCGCAAACAAGATACGCACCCAAGGGCGGTCCATTTGTCTTACAAATGCGCTGAATCCGGGTCGAACTTCCAACCATGGCTCAATGCCCGGTCAACCAGACAGACCTACCCGCCCCCAAATGTGGGGGTTAGGTCTTTTGGTAGGTAGCCTCGAGTAGAGCTGATTGTCGAGATGGCGGAATCTGGTATCCACTAGTATCCGACAGGCACTAATTGCCACAATTTAGAGATATGAGAGGTTTGAAGTAATCTGTCTAGATTTCCCTAAACCTAATAATGAGCATTACCTACACTAAACCGTATGCGGTAAATGCTGGAACCGTTAGGGAAATAACCGTTTATGCGCGTCTTGGCTCGGCCTAATGCAATTCGCACCCGACAAACCTAATCACAAATAATCGCCACGGCGCCGCTATTTCCCAAAAGATAAAATCATATAGTAGGGACTAGATATGGACAGCATCGATTTCCGCCACGCATCCTATATATAGTCCTTCTTTTGATAGCAGAATATGAAAGCCCTTTTCGAGCCTCTCCATTAACAGAACATCCACTTTGTACTCTACAAACATGTTGGCCAAGTCCATGAAATCCGCTTCCTCCCCTTCCCCCGCAGTGGCCCAGATTTCTTCCACTATCTTGCGTAAAATTACATTTCTCCGCGGAGAATTATCTGCCGCAATGGCTAGATTTTCTGCCACAAGGGACATTCGACATATGTTGGTCTCAAAACCAGGTATCCTCACCACACGATATCTTGCCATTATACCATCATAGATGCTGCGATAGAGGGCAAGACATTGTGGTGAATTTTCCCATACACCTTCTGCTTCGTCCCCGTGTTCCATAGATCCCTTATATCCGTACATGGCTGGGTCCCATTCGCATGTGAGCCATCCGGGATATCTCTCGTTTCCGAGACTACGGGGCACAGTTGCAACTCCATCCCAATCAATGAGACCTAGGAGCTCGCCTTCTTCCGATACAATAAAGTTCTGTATGTCAAAATCTGGATGCGCAAGAACGAAGGGATCGATTCCATCGGGCTCAGGAATCCAGCTAATGAGCTGACGTAAAAGCGCTGCGAGACCTTGAGAAATCGGGTTATGTTCGGGGTGTATGAGCATAAACATGCAGAATTGTTTTGGGTCGCTGGAAACTGCACACTCGATATACATAGGGTCATCGTCAGGGTCTTGATGAATAAACCATCTGTCAAGCATAGCCTTATGGTCAACTCGTCGCATAGGGCCGATGGTAGGTGGGTTCTGAGTGCTATCGGAAACAATACAACCACTGGTTCGAAAGGTGAACTTGTCTAGCTGTACCATTGCTGAGACTTTTCATGCTCTTTGATCACATGGCTCCTCTTCTCCGTTTAAATATCACCGTTCCCAGGTCCTTCGTTCCCAGCGCCGGTCGATCTCCACTCAAACCGAATGACCTGCAGTGTAAGTTCAAATTGAGCCTAGCTATAAGTTATTGATATAATCAACTACAGGAAATACCACTCCTATCCATCTAGCCCGTGGGTTCCCACAAGGCTCTCCCTGCATCAACAAGCCATACACACCAATGCCCCCGTATCGTTCTGAATACATTCAGACAAATTGACCTAGATAACTCTCCGGTAAGCTTCCATTAACTATTCACAAAAAAGGAGCCAATAAGCATACAGAAGCCGACTGTGTACCCCCATGCCGGTCATTCAATTGTGCATGAAGCCACGGCGTACCGTCTTTCCCCTCGATCGAGAGGTGGACCTGCGATGCGCTGTGTGCGAAGTTGGCGCCACCCCAGAAGAACTTGCCTACGCCATTAATATTGTTAGCTCGAAACTTGGTCATGTTAGAGGCTACAGTTAGTGCGCACCGTTGTGGTTTCCTAGGCATTCGTTCAGGTCTAGTCGTGAGTAGGACCATGATCCATCGGGTCGCTCGCAGCGGCAGCTTAGGATGTGGCGGTTGCGGAGAGTGATGTTTTCTGAGGAGATGTGGAAACCCATCGGGATAGCGCATGTGTGATTCGAGAACGGAAGAATGAAAAACGCAGATGGTATTCTGATCGTGTGCTCTTCCTCCTGGTTGTTCTAGGCGGATACGTCATTTCGTCCTCATCATTCCGTCGACGAGTATTGACTTTTTTGCTTCATCCGTGTAATTTAAATTAAATGCAATTCCAGAGTATGGTGTCTTACGCAGCATAGAAGAAGTTGAATTCAGTCCTCTCACCCGGAAATACTTGAGATAATGGTTGGAAAAATATATTTCACTTCCGCTCGACCAGGAGATTATGACGGTATACTGGTTTCCGACCCATGGTCGCGATGTTTACCTTTGTCAAAACACAATCTATACAACTTTTCATTCAACTGCTCTCTCGACTTTTGCAGACCATCTATCCCATTTGCCCGACGTGGGTCTAGTCAGCACGCTACGTCACTCCATGGGCACAGGCTCATCGCAGGGGCATCTCGAAAGAATCTTGTAAGAATCCAAGCTCATCAGGTTGCATTCCCGCCAATGCTGGAGCAATCGGCCCAAAACCATGCGGATACTCGTTTCATTCTCCGAATCACTGGTTGTTCCTGGAACCATAGTGTGGATACCCCTGCCCATCGTATTTAGTGATTGATCAGCAAGATTGACCCTGCAGCCGACGGATATAGGTCGGAGTTTGGCGTCGCAGATTAATAATTCAAACATAGCTAGTTATATAAACTTTGAATTCCCCGCCTAACCTACCATCGACAACGAACTCCAACCATGAAGTACGTGCAGCTCGGAAGTAGCGGCCTTCGCATCGCGCCAATCGGCGTAGGCTGCATGAGCTACGGAGCCCACCGAACGCCCAACGAATGGTCTCTTCAGGAAGACGAAGCTCTCCCCGTGCTGGACCACTGCTACCGCTCGGGTCTCAATTTCTTCGACACGGCAAACGTATACTCAGCCGGGTCCTCGGAAGAGATCCTCGGCAAGGCGATCAAGAAATATGCCTGGATCCGCGAAAGCATCGTCGTCGCCACCAAAGTCAACTTCCCCGTCGGGCGCAACGGCGAGAAACCCCTTCGCTGGGCAGCCGACCAGCGCGACAACGGCGGCTACCTAAACCAGTACGGCTTGAGCCGGAAACACATCTTCGACAGCGTGGACGCGAGTCTGCGCCGCCTGGGCCTGGACTACATCGACCTGCTCCAGATCCACCGGTTCGATCCCAACACACCGATCAAGGAGACGATGGAGGCGCTGCATGATGTCGTCAAGTCTGGGAAAGTGCGCTACATCGGCGCGAGCTCGATGTGGGCGCACCAGCTTATGGAGATGCAGTACACGGCGCGCATGAATGGGTGGACCGAATTCATCTCGATGCAGAATATGTATAATCCCGTCTACCGCGAAGAAGAGCGGGAGATGTTCCCCGCGTGCCAGAAGCTCGGCATGGGTTGTGTGCCCTGGAGTCCGCTCGCCGCGGGGTTTCTGGGCCGGCCGTGGAAGACGTGGGCGGAGACCACTCGTGGCAGCGGATGGAGTGACAGGCCCTTTAGCGAGGCGGATAAGCGGATCAACGAGAAAATCGAGGAGATTGCGTCTCAGCGCGGAGTGAGCATGGCGATTGTGGCGATTGCGTGGTGCTTGTCGAAGCCGTTTATTACGGCGCCGATTCTGGGGCTGGGGAAGAAGGAACGCGTTGATGAGGCGGTTCAGGCTACTGAGTTTGAGTTGAGTGAGGAGGAGAGCAAGAGTCTTGAGGAGCTGTATGAGCCGAAGCCGGTGATTGGACATACATGAGGGACTAGTGAAGCATTAGCAAAGGGTTGGATTGCCTGCCTATCGCTGAAACCATAAAGTTCCGTGCCCTTTTTCCGTGTCTGAACCTTCTGTCTGCTATACTACCTAGTCACCTCCAGTGAAACTCGAGCCTTAGCTGGTCAATGCCACAGCAGGCATTCGTACGCTTGCCTTCACGTGATACTCTACGGGATGCTTGGCCTAAGCGAGATATGCATTTATCCTGTCTTTTCCGCCTGAAGATGACTGGCCCTACATAGAGCGGATCCAGTGCCGGATGGTGGAGATCCCTGTACTACGGGGAAAGCGTCGGGTAGCGCGGCAAAGGAACTATCTCAGATGCTGAGCCTCCCCGTTACGCAGGCACTCTTGAAAAAGGATGGTGGGGATGCCGGATAGGGTCTACTTCAGCAGTCATATCTAAGTCATGCCATTCCACTGCCCCAGAAGATCGACCGAACTACTTCATGGCTGTCTTGTGGAGATGAGCTCGCCCACCACTCACCGTCGGCGGTTCCCTCCCTCCATGGGCGCTGATAGGAGTCGGGTGATATGCGAGACATCGAGAGGGCAGCCACTACGTCAGCGTGCGAATCAGAAATGACCTAGAGACGGCCACTCGCATGATCAACCCGCTCAGCCCGCGTCCCGCTAGGCCCGGATCGGGCGACGATGAAGAACTCGTCAGCCGTTGGGGACGTTCCGGTGCCTTGAAAATCGCTCGATTGAGGGTCAGGAGGAATGCGCATGAGGGAGAGGGAGGATGATGGTTTCACAGGTGCCTGGCAGGGGGACAGAGGGGGAGAGAGAGAGAGGTACAAGTCAATAAATAGTTCTATGGCCCTAACTGTGCTTCACACAAAAGATGTTTCGGACCGTCCTGTGTTCAGTTGGGCCATAATTGATTCATTCCGCCAGGGGCCCTAAACGACGGTATGTGCCTAGCATGACGCCATGGTGTTGGGTGGGCCCATCCCTAACTGGTTCTAGATGGGAATGCGCAAGAAACCCGTCCAGCCCTCTTTCTCTTCTTCCGCTTCTTCTTCCTCCTCCTTCTATCCTTCTTCACTCTCCAGTCAGTCCCTTCTCCCCGATGTCACCAAATCCAGAATAATATCCCCTTGCTCACCGGTGACAGGCCTCGCTTCCTCCGACTACACTCCCCCCGGTCGGAACGACCTAGAACGGCTGATCATCAAACACGGCTACCCCACTCCTATTGTCCTGTCGTCCCTGCGTGATTTGACGGCCACACAATCCCCATATAACCCGCCCTCGCGCTCTTGTTCCTGCTCGAATCACTTCGAGACTCGTCTGTCTCCTTCCACCACCCGTCCCATCCCGATCCCCCGACCGCGCCGGCCGCCTCCCATCTACGACGATCTTCCTGTGACTCCACTGACAGGCCGATTCGAGACGGACGTCTATCTGCGCGAGTGGGAACTCTCATCGCTCTCTGCCCGCTCCCAACGAGCCCAATCTCCCCTCCGCTCCGGCCGTCGTGGCCGACACTACTCCTCGCGCACCAGCAAGCCGTCAAGGATGCGCGCTGACCACTCACCCTTCGACTACTCGTCGCTTGTCTCGCCCACCACTATGTCCAGGTCACCACGCCGCTCGTCGTCCCCTCCCCCTCCCCGCTCTCTCCCTCAAAACCAGGGCAAATCCGTGCCCGGGTTTCAACTCGGCAGTCTCCCTCGCTTCCACCCGGCTGTCTACCAGTCCACCTCGACGTCACACAATGCGACCGGCCAACCATCGTCCCCCCGACAGTCTCGCCAACACCACACATATCGCACCTCGAGCGGGTCACGCGACATGATGTGGCAGTATCGCGACTGGATGGACAATGGCTCTCCCGGTCCGTCGGCCCCACGCCTGGATCCGCTGAGCAGTCCTGGCCCGGTTACCCCGCTGGCCCTGGAAGACGCCCAGGGGTATTTTGTCAGCAGTGGCTCAGCCAAGGCCGCCTCTGAGCGAGCTTCCCGAGAGGTGGGCAACAAGCAGGCCGGCCCGTCGCCCGAACTTGTGGAGAAACTGATCGCTCGCGAGAACGAGCGCACTCGACAGAAGAATCGCAAATCCGCAAAGGGTTGGCCGTGATATTTTCTTCTCAGCTGCATTATTCATCGTGGTGTTTTTATTTTCCAGGTTGTTTCTGTCCGTCCTGGAGACCAATCCCCCCGGTCGCATTCCTGTCCTTTTCTCTTCTTTTCTGCCTGGGTAGAAAAAAGGGGCTCTGTCTGGGTTTAGGAGGGTCGTTTTGTTTCTGTTTATTGTTTATTGCATCGACCACCGAGTCTGCGCCTGTCCATTACGAGATCATGTGTCTAGTTATACCCCATATAGTCCGACCCTGCATCCTGAGGCATCATCACCTCACCGGAGATGTCCCATTCCTCCCCGGAACTGCGGGGCCCTTCAACCCGCGCGGATCAACTGAGAATCCCGTATTTTCTCTGGATTCTCCTTCAATTGCTTTTCCTTTAATTCGATTTCCCCAGAAATCAGTACCTGCGCTCTAATTGCCCAAAAAGTTTTGCTCCGCTTCCCCTGGTCCCTTATCGGCCTATCCGTCGCCACTCCGATCGCGGTCACATCCTCCACCCCTCAAAAGTACCTGGCGTCTGCGACGCATTGATCGCTGCGCCCGAGCATGTCATCGGCGCAGGCGCCTGTGTCTACTGCTACACCTGCAATGACGGCTGTACCGGATGCCGCTGGAGGTGTGGGTAGTGCTCCCACGCCAGCAGTGAAGAAGAACTATCATGGGTTTGTGGCTGGGGTGTTTTCAGGGATTGCGAAGCTGAGCGGTATGTTTCCGTCGCTGCTTGTCTTGTCTTGTCTTTGAGCGATAGGCTAACTAACACTCTGTCTCTATTCAGTTGGTCATCCGTATGTGTATTCCCGTGGCGATACTCGAACGTCTCTAATCATCGCAGATTCGATACCGTCAAAGTCCGCCTCCAAACAAGTAAAGACGGCCACTTCCGCGGACCGCTGGATTGCACCCTGCAGACAGTCCGCAAAGAAGGTGTGCGAGGTTTATACAAGGGCGCGACGCCTCCGCTGGTCGGATGGATGGTCATGGACTCTGTGTGAGTGGCATGGAACATGCTCAATCGCAATTAATTCTTCCTGGCTGACTGGACCCTTGCTACAGTATGCTCGGCTCATTGACGTTGTACCGCCGACTGCTCCTCGAGAACGTCTTCTCCAAACCTCATATTCGCCCGTGGATCCCCTTCTCGCGCAGCCAGCCAGACCTTAATGTGCTTCCGAGCTTCGGGCATGGTATAGCTGGGGTCATGGCCGGTACGACGGTTAGCTTTATTGCTGCGCCGGTCGAGCATATCAAGGCCCGGCTGCAGGTGCAGTATGCCGCGGATAAGTCGAAGCGGATGTACAGTGGTCCGATTGATTGTCTGCGCAAGATAGTAAGTTCCTTCATGTCGTCGTGTTTCCAACAATAGTTGCATTACCATAACTAACTTCTTAGACCCAAACCCATGGCATCCAGGGCCTCTACCGCGGCCTGTTCGCAACGATCCTCTTCCGCTCCTTCTTCTTCGTCTGGTGGGGCTCCTACGACGTGATAACGCGCTACATGCAGCACTCGACCTCTCTCTCTGCGCCATCTATCAATTTCTGGGCTGGTGGCATCTCCGCCCAGCTCTTTTGGCTCACCTCCTACCCGTCCGACGTGGTCAAGCAGCGTCTAATGACCGATCCCATGGGCGGAGCGCTCAATGACGGCCAGCGCCAGTTCCGTGGCTGGAAGGATGCTGCCGCGGCCGTCTGGCGAGAGCGCGGGTGGAGAGGGTACTGGCGGGGCTTCGTACCCTGCTTCTTGAGAGCGTTCCCGGCGAATGCGATGGCGCTGGTTGCGTTCGAGGGCGTGATGCGCTGGCAGACATGAACTAACACTCCTACATAGACTTGGGCTATATTACACTGTATAGACAATGGCCTTTAGAATACAATGGAATAGAAATTCATCATTAATACATACATTCCCCTGACTTGGACCGGGGTTCGCCCCTGGCTGGTGCGTGATGCAACTCACCGGCGGAGTCCGCGCCGAGGAATGCTGTACAGTGTTCTGGCCGCATCCGGCGATGAGACATCTCCCTCCGGGCGCGCTATTCTAGGAATCCCGCGATAACAGTTATTCGCTGTGCAGCTTGGGCGGGTCGTTACGATCGTCATCGGGATCGAGACCGCCGTTGAGCAAGTCGGAAGTAACATAGGGGTTGGATTAACTGGGTTCCGCCCTTTTTCCGGACAGGAGAGCACCATTATTCTTGCCTAGAATAAATCTTGACTCTTTGTTCTTCTCTCTCAGCTGCCGGGTACAACATTTTCTCATCATGTACACCTCATAGTACATAGTTCGTTGGTTCGGGCTGAAGAACGAGCGACAGATATGCCTCAGGCAGCACATTAGATCACCGTTTCAGATACAATCCATCATCGACTACTCCTTCGCACACACTCTGCGTCTCCTCCCCCGGACCCCGAACGGCCATGGCCGTCGCACGCTCGATGCGACGAACGAGTCCCGTCAGCCTGGTCTTGGCGGCTCTACTAGCATTCGGGTTCATCTGCTTCCTACTCTCCCCATCCACTCCCTCCTCCGCGGTCTCCTCGCGCCAGCGCCAACAAGACGCCGCCGAACATCCTCTCTCCCCGCCGACGAAACCCTTCTTCAAATCCCAACAATTACGCAGCGATGGCGTGCAGGCCGCCCCGCCCGTGGTGCACTACAACCTCAACACCCTCACCAGCACAGCCGACTCCCGCTCCAACAACGAGCGCATCCTCATCCTCACGCCCCTCTCGCGCTTCTTCCGCGGATACTGGGATAACCTCGTGAAACTGAACTACCCGCACGAGTTGATCTCGCTGGGGTTCATCGTCCCCAAGACGAAAGACGGCAATGCCGCAGTCGCAGCGCTGGAGAAGGCCATCGCAGAGACCCAGAACGGGCCGATAGACGCCCGTTTCGCAAGCATCAGTATCCTGCGGCAAGACTTCGAGCCGCCGCTCACGTCGCAGGACGAACAAGTCCGCCATCAGCTGGGCAGTCAGAAACTCCGCCGCGAGTCCATGTCCCGCGCACGCAACAGCCTCGTCTTCACGACCCTGGGCCCGTCCACGGAGTGGGTTCTCTGGCTGGATGCAGACATCGTGGAGACGCCTCCAACTCTTATACAAGACCTAACGAGCCACGATCGCCCCGTGATCGTCCCCAATTGCATGCAGCGCTACTACGACAAGGACGCCAGGCGATGGGCGATCCGACCCTACGACTTCAACTCGTGGATCGATAGCCAGGTCGCACAGCAACTCGCAGAATCTATGGGTCCGGATGAGATCCTGCTGGAGGGATATGCCGAGCTCGCCACCTACCGCACGCTGATGGCCTACCTCACCGACGGCGTGAACCTCGATCCGCGCCGCACAATCCCACTAGATGGTGTTGGTGGCACGGCGCTTATGGTTAAGGCTGAAGTACACCGCGATGGGGCCATGTTCCCTGCGTTCCCGTTTTATCATCTTGTTGAGACGGAGGGGTTTGCGAAGATGGTCAAGAGGTTGGGGTATGGTGTTTTTGGGTTGCCTGATTATTTCGTGAGTGTTTCCAACATCTAATCCATTCATTGTCTTACTTTCGTTTTGCTAACTCTTGGCTTAGGTATACCATTATAATGAGTAACAGGTTCGCTGAGCCAAGTCATGCTGTCTAAACAGAAAGCAGTTGCATTTTGCGCGCTGTGCGTCTACCACCAGTTCATTCATGTCGAAGCCTTTTTTTTTTCATGTCATAGGTGTCTGCGAGTTGAGGTTTGTTTTGAGCTACCTGGCAGCTGTTTGATTACTTTTTCTGTTCTTCCTTCTAGATTGGATCAGACAAAAGGGCTACATTACCGGCATCTCTATTTGAGTGATTCTGTTTTTGTGTTACTATCAAGAGTTGGTACTTGCGTGGTCTCACAGGGTTCTAAGGAGAAAGGAGCTATGAATTTAGAATGGAGTTTTGGGATTCGTGATCACGTCAAATCAATTGCATGCCAATATACTGAGTCTGTCAGGTTCCTTAAATAGAACTACTGTTTGAATGTTGAATTGCTGCCTCTAAACTCTTATCAACTGGAATTAGATTCTGTCCCGCTCCCGATGGAGAGTAATAGTACTTCTATGAGAACTATTACAAAAGATGTTTAGTAGACAACGAAACATGCAAGCGTCCAACGTAAAACTACAGTTTCGACGGTTGCAACAGGTTGTTGTAGCTGTTGACTGTTTGTGAAGATTCTTTTCTGCGGGTTTCTTCCATTTAAGGAAATACATGCGTGGAGACTTTCCTTCCAGTCGAATCATGCCGTTGTGGCAGCACATTAAATAGTCCGTCGCTGTCACGAGGTTCGTAGTCAAGAGACAGCGATCCCTGTCGGAGCACATTCAACCCAAAGTTCTCTTTCAACCAGTGGGCGAACATATCCATTCCAGCAACCGCCCCAGTGCCTGTCCAGATATTTCCATCCACAATCCACTTCTTATCTTTTGTCCATTTCACTTTGGGATATTGTTTAGCTACCCAATTATATTCCAGATTGTTGACTGTCGCATGCTTCCCATCCAGCACCCCAGTGGCCGCAACAACTGCCGCCCCAGTACAGGTAGTAAACAGTAGTTTTCCAGCGGCAACATGACGCTGGATGAACTCCACATACTTCGGTGGAACTTGGAAACGAGCTGGGTTGGGCCCGCCAACCAAGAGACAGTCCAGCTCCGGGCAGTCATCCACGGTGGTGGTAGGCGTGAGTGTCAACCCGCTTGTGAGCAGAGGGACCGGCTCCCGTGTTTCCCCAATATGATGGAAAACGAAATCGGGCGCGCGTGCGACGGCTTCTTCGTCGACTGGACCGAAGAAGCTTATGGCAGTCATGAAACGTTTGCTGGACGAATTAAGCAAGTCGCATGGACCGATGACATCAATTGCTTGATAGTCGAATACCAAGCAGCCAAAGTGGATGGGCGCCATTGAGTGTAGGGCTCTAGCGTATGGGTGCGTTGACGAGGAATGAGGAGGGCTAAGTACAGGTTGGAAGACTGAAAGTGCAGCTGGAAAGCTGACTGGGATTAACAAACTTAAATACCTGAATGCTTACTATGGAAACACATGTCTCCGTAACCACCGAGTTCTTGTGCTATTTTTATCTATTTCTAGGCGCTCCATTGCTCCTGAAAATCTTACTACGGTAACACTTTGGGTATGCCTGCGTACTTCGATTGGTTGTTACATACGGAGCTCGGTGACTCGGCAGACGAAAGCCTAGCCAAAGCCTTTGAATCGCGGAAGATGACGACGGTGGTCGCTCCTTCGGCCTCCCGATTGTTATTAATCCGGAGTCAGCCCTCTGACTACCCCACTACTGTGTCACACCCTACATCGGTACGGAAAAGATTTAGCGTTGCTAAGTGTAACTTGCGGTCCCAGCACTACGACTCTCCCTACTCGCAAGAGCTGAACGGCGCGACGAAGCTTTCTAGAGCTGTCATAGTCTCACTACTTTTCATCGTGTCTGTTATATCACAACAGATTCCTTACAATCTAGGTAGCAAACTTCTCCTTATTCTCCTCAAGCCACTGCTCAAACCTCACTGGAGTCTTGCCGGTATACTTCTGCACGTTGCCCAATCCAACCTGGCATTCCGGCACGTCCCAAATAAAGCTTCTCGGTCCGGTAACAGCCTCAACAAACCACTTGGCAGCCGGCTCTGGAAGCCCCTTCTGCAGCATATCCTCCACTGCCTGTTCCTTTCCAACAATAGTAATCTTAATTTCCTTGCCTAGGACACGGCCAATAACACACAATGCATCCTTCAATGACAACCGATCTGGCCCAACCAAAGGAATTATGCGCTCCTGTGTACCATGCGCTAGAATTACCCCAACAACTCGTCCAATGTCTTCAGGTGAGATCCAGTCGAATTCGACGTCAGGGTTAGGTAGCCTCACATTGCCTTGTGCAATCTCGTCCTTATACTGTAGCGCATTGCTCGCAAAATAAGCTGGTCGCACGACGCTCCAATGGCCACCAAAGACATCCTCAAGAGCTATCTCCACCCTGGCATGGAGATAGGGTACTATGTCAGTAGGCGGTATAGTACGTAGATCACCCTGGACGGTGAAGCTACTCAACAGAACGACGGACTCGATTCCACCTTCTTTAAGCGCCACAATGGTGCGCCTCATACCGTCTGGAATTTCATGGATTGTATATAAAAAGGCGGTTGTGGCGCCACTCTGGCGAACTGCGGCCAGAACGGTTTCAGGCTTGGCAAGGTCCGCTCGGGCTTTCGTGGCCAAGAGGCCGTTCAGGCTCGGAATGGGCTTTGAAGGATCACGCATGGCGAGAGTAACATTTGCGCCCTCTTGATTTGCCTTAAGTGCGGCAGCCGAGCCAATGCCTCCACTCGCGCCGAAAATGATAACATTGCGAGGAGAGGCCATTTGAAATGGTAGTTGTTTATTACTGATTCGATGGGGTGAAGATGAAATCAATATGCCCGGTGACTGGGAGTCTTGTTCAGGTTCTGGGGAAGACTGAATACGATGGCTCTAATACCCAGGGAAGATAGTACTGTATGTGCCACTTGGACCAGTCAAGTTGTCGAGTTGAAAAGCCCCGTAACTATTCCTGGTGCTGGCAGCCTCGTATATCGCCGAGCCGACTGTGTTGCCAAGAGCCACATCGCCGAGCCGAGTTTTTATAACCGTATAAGAAAGTGGGGTAGAAAGTTAGGTACCTGTTCGGAAATGGTCGATCGGTTTGCCCGCTGCTCATTGCACGCCTTAGGCCTCCAGTCCACTATAGATCAGCCCTCTCGGCGTGAAATTGGACGGAAGTCTCGGGCGGCCATGGGTAAGCACACTTATGAACCACCTCAGGTCCAGCCCCCAAAAGAAAGCTGCTCAAGTATTCCATCTGCTCTGCGTGACCTGAAAAGAATATCATCCTTGGCACGCTATTGATATCTGGATGAAAATGGTCAAAGTGGCAATTGCGGGTGGCTCCAGCAGTAAGTTCTACTAAGCTCCTAATAACCTCTTTGCAGCATCACTGAAATCGTAGTAGATGTTGCAGGAGAGATCGTAGAGGCACTTGCTAGTACTCAGAAACATGATATTCTAATTCTGTCCAGAAAGGTTGGGACACCATTTTTCCACTTCAGTGGCTTGGACTCTTCAACTAATTAGCAGATACAGAGTGCTCCGGTCCGCGAGGTTACACCGGGCATAGAATGGGCCAAAGTAGATTACAACAACCCAAAGCAATTGGAGCAGGTCCTACAAGGAGTGCATACTCTGCTGTCATTCGTCGTTATACAGGATGACCCAACGAGCGCGGTCCAGAAAAACCTCATTGATGCCGCAGTGCGAGCCGGCGTGAAGCGCTTTGCACCCAGCGAATGGGCCACGTAGGTTATTCGAACCCTAAGGTTGTCGGCGGTGATTGACCCTGCTCAGATCCGGTTTGGAAAATATGCGCTGGTATGCTTACAAGGGAGAAACCCGGAGATACCTCGCAGAGCTGAACTCGGATACGACGGTAAGCTTCCAAAACAGCAAGACACTTATAGATCTAAAGTATAATGAACAGGTTCTTGAGTACACGCTGTTTCAGCCAGGCTTAATTATGAACTACCTTACCTACCCCTACAAGTCTGCAGCTCACCTGCATCAAACGGAACTGCCATTCGATTTTAATAACCGCCGAGCTATTGTGCCGGATAACTACGACCAAATCTATATCACACTCACGACGATACAGGATCTTGCAAACGTGGTTGTTAAAGCCATCGATTTTAAAGGCAAGTGGCCGGTTGTTGGTGGTGTTAAAGGCACCGATATATCCCTCAAGCAACTCATTTCCATTGGGGAAAAGGTCCGAGGTATGGCTGTCAACGCTCCACATAGTAGAGATAGACTAATATTTTACAAACTAGGTGGCACGCCTTTTAAGATTGAGAAGGTGGACGCACAGCACTTTGAAACCGGGGCATGGACAGCCTCATGGACGCCGAGATTTGATCACCCTGCGATACCGTCTGAGCTAGTCACAGATGCTCTCTCAAAAATGGTGGTTTCAGGTATCTTGTCGGGTATCTCTGCTGGTTGTTTCAAGGTCTCGGAGGAATGGAATCAGTTACTGCATGACTACGAGTTTACTCAGGCTGAGGGCTTTTTGAGCGAGGCTTGGGCTGGTAAACCTTAGGCTTTAAACTTGATCTTTGGAGCAAATTTGAAGGCTTGGAGGAGTATGCAACATATGCTTGCTTAATTATGATTATCCCAGCCGGATCTGTGTTGTTTTGCATCATGATACTCACTTAAATGATATTGTGAAACTATACAGGTCCTTGTGTGGCTCGCGTCCTTGCCTATCGTTGAAGATTCGCAAGTCTGTTGGGTTCCTTATATATAGAACTACTGTATGAATGTTAAATTGCTTCTTCCAACCTCTATCAACTAGAAGTAGATTCTGTCTCGCTCCCAATGGAGAGTAAAACAGTACATCTATTAAATCCATTACAGAAGATGTTCAGTGGACAATGAATAAGTCAAGGTATTTCGGGCCAATCAATCCCAGGAGATCCTAAGAAACAAAGTCAGCCAGCAAGATAACCAAGCAACAAGTATGAAGGAAAAACGGAAACTTACACAAGCATAATTCCCGCTCCAACAGCAACAGCCAAAAACTGAGTCACCGTCTTCCGCAGCTCAAGCGCCTTGTTGGGGCCAGTTTCAAGCAACTCCGGGATGACAGCGACAGTACCAACATAAAGGAAGGTACCCGCCGTAAAAGGAAGAAGCATGTCTCCCCACGAGAGACTAGTACCCAGCAAACCAGCCGCAGCGCCGGTGTCTTCCGCAACACCACTGCCGCCAAACTCTTGCACAGTAATACCGATCAAGGTACCCAGGAAAGCACCTACGGCAGTAACGAACTGGGCGCCCATGGCCTTGCGCTTGGAGAAACCAGACTGCACGAGAAGAGCAAAGTCGCCGACCTCGTGCGGGATCTCGTGGAAGAAGACTGCGACGGTGGTGGTTGCTCCGAGGGTTGGCGAGGCGTAGAAGGAGGAAGAGAGAGCGAGACCATCGGTGATATTGTGGGTGAAATCAGCAATCAGGTTGAGGTAGCCGCCCAGCTTGACGCTGGGATTGATTTCTTTCGCGGGGACGGAGGGCGAGGAGTCAGATTTGGAGGCGGACTTGCGCTTCTTGACATCTCCACTGGATTTGGACTTGGAGTCGGAGCTGCTCGTCGTGGCTGAAGTGTCAGTGTGCGCGTGACCGTGGGAATGGTCGTGACCACCCTCGCCGCCGGTTGCGATGCGCAGGGCCTTGTCCATGGCTACGAAGGTGAAGAATCCCACCATGATACCCAGGCCCAAGAGGAGATTCTTATTCGGCTCGACCATTACGAAGCTCACATGATCTGGCGAGTCCTCGCCCAGGAAGATCTCAGGGAGGAGGTGGAAGAGCGTGTCACCCAGCAGGCCTCCGACAGCGAAGGCGACCATGATAGAGAGCGAGGACGGGTCAATGTTCGGAGGACATAGTGCCAGCAAAAAATCTAGATAGTATTACTGTTAGTCTGTGGTCAATTGAGACCAGTAAGCGAGGACGTACTGGGTGGGCCGGAGATATAAGCAGTGGCCAGAAGCGCGTTCACAGCTGGGCTGCCGGGGAAAAGGACTGCGAAGATCTTCGAAGTGAGACTGGCAGTCTGCGGACTAGTAGCACGCTTGTGCTCATTGAGAGACTCCACCAGCGGGCAGTTCTGCATGCAAGCGTGAGCAATTGTCGTCCAGCACGAAATCTCCTGGGGTCATACCTGCAATTGGTCCTCAATCTGGCTGACAGAGAGGCCGCCGGGGTGGGCATTGGCTGCAGCCAGTGCCGAAAACAAGATACATCCAGCAGCGAGGGCAACGCCCGTCCTGCGCGAAGGAAGAAGCCAAGCCATTGAGGGAGGGAGGGATAATGGAAGAAGAACAACAACATACGTTATCCTTATCGCCCCATCACGAGGGATTCGTCAAACACGCCAAGACCGACAGTGCAAACACCGTCGAAAAAAGTTCCGCGATAACATTTATCTTTGCACTTCTTCAACACCACCAACAATAATAATCATGGGCAAGGTTTTACAGAAGAAGAAGAGCCGGTCGGGCTTGTCCAAGTCTCGGCCGAAGGACAGTCGTCTCAAGAGTGGCAACAAGAAGATCAATGTGCTGGGCAATGCCATCATCGCTGAAAACTGGTATGTTCCCTCCCATCCCCTCCCAGAACAGCAGCTGACCTCGAGGAAAAAGGGACAAAAACTTGACCCTCACCCAGAACTACCGCCGTCTGGGCCTCATGCACAAACTCAATGCACCAACCGGTGGCAAAGAGCGACTCCCGGGCCAAGGCGAAGCCGCCGACAGCTCCCTGCACATCAAGGGCAGCGCCAAAGCGGCTGCGCAGATCGGACTGGGCGAGACGCGGGTGGAACGTGATCCAGAGACAGGCAAGATCCTGCGCGTGATTAAAGACGACGACGAGATCGAGGTTGCGGGCTACAAGCGGCGGCGCGCGAACCCACTCAACGACCCGCTGAATGATCTCTCCGACAACGAGGATATTCTCCCAGATGTCTCAAACTCGGCCATTGTGCAGCAGCTGGAGCGCCAGGCTGATGTGGAGGACAAGAAGGTTACAGCTAAGAAGCCGCGGCATCAGAGCGAGCGGGAGTCTGGGTGGATTATGCAATTGATCGAGAAGCATGGTGATAATCTTGCCGCGATGGTGAGGGATCGCAAGCTGAATCCCATGCAGCAGTCGGAGGGGGATCTGCGAAGGAGAATCAATAAGTGGAAGAAGAGCCAGGCGTGATCTTGTTGTGATCCATCATTTCGTGGCGCGTTGGGCGTTTCTTTGGGATTAGATTTGTGTGATTTACTACAAGTGATGGAAGATATAGTATATTTTCCGCTATGTACAAATCCTCAATGTCATAGCAATGATCTATCAATGGCGCTCGAGAGTCGAGTAGGTGACATGGCCTGGACCCTTTGGTGGAATACTCACGCGCTGCACCACCCGCACCCAGCGCCGGCGCCGCCATTCGCCCACGCCATAGGATGCCATTGCGCCCTCTTCCCAGTCGCGAGTAGTAGATTTGCCCTTATCCTTGGTCGAAGAACCGGCGGAACTGGACTTGGTCTTTGAAGAGGGCGTTGGCTCCGGCTTCAGATCTCCGTAGGTGAGAGCGGTAATATCATCCTCCTCTTGACCATCAGAGCTCGCGGGTAGATCCCACACCCAGCCACCGACCTCATCGATGATAGCATTGCCTTCCGCGGTTACACCGGGGATCTCAAAACCAACGCCGGTGATCATTCGCTCCACCACCCACTCGCGGCAGTCCAGGTCGAGCTCCCATTTTTTGCTCTTCCACATCCATCCCGAAGGGGCATTGACATCCTCAAAAAATCGGCATCCTCGAGGTCGATCACCGGCAATCCGCGACGGTGAAAGAGGGTCGTAGGGTTGAGGGCTGAACAGGAAATTCTCCCATCTTCGTTCTGAGCCCCCCGAAACTCGATGCTGGAGCTCGAAGATCTCGACTTCACGTTCCTCCGGGTCCGTGTCTAATGAGATATCTGCCAATTGCTCCATATTTGCGATTGCCACTGAAGGAGACATGAGTCCTTTATTTTCGGTCGGGGGCGCATCCAGATCTGTTGAGCCTCCGCTCACATCGCGGATCAAATCCACGAAAAACTGACGGACGGATGGGTGATTTGACAGGAGTGCCGCGTTGCCACCTGCCAGCATGATCCAGCGCAGCGGCACTAGATGCGCCGTCATAAACAGCAGCGCGGTGACAATGGTGCAAGACAGAAACACAGCCGACGATAGTTTTTCATTCGAAAAGTTCGTCAGCGGCGCAATCACGGCGATGAGCGCATCGTGGACGTCCGAGAAGTCAGCCATGCAGTTCTGTAGGTCTCGCATGTTCCGGAAGAAATCCTTGGAAGTCTCCGGGGCGGGTTTGATCGTTCTCGCCGGCGCCAACGCGGGTCCGTCGTAGGAATAATACGGGGTGGTGCTGGATGTAGATGTTGTCGGGGGAGGGGGATGGCGGGTTATGAATGTCGGAACCATGATAGATAACAGCAGCACTGCAAGAGGTAGTACCAGGATTAGGTGTGGTTCCAAACAGATGAAAGAGTACACGAAGAGCAATGATAGCGTGTGGGTGGGTTGCTTCCAGCTCAGCAGCCGCTCAACTCGGGCCTGGAACAAGAATACGACGCCGATTCTACCCAGTCTCAGTCATGATAGTTGAATACAGGCACAAGATGATCTTACCTGGCATTGAAGCGACGGAAGTTGTTGGACATCACGGGCAGACTAAAGGACGGCCGCTTGGGGGACGTCGCGAGGACCGCGTCGCCCGAGGGATTTGTATCATCCTCGTCATCATCCGTCGGGGCGACTTGTTGCAGGATCCTGGGAGTGGGTATCAGATATCTGGAAATCGACTAGCTCTTGAGAAACCATACTTGGTAAATAACCGGTCCTGCAGCGATGGCGAACTTGTACGCTCAGCCTTGGGCTTGATGTTGAGCATGGGCACCGGCTCGTCGCGGTTGACCAGAGCCTCGGGGGTATATTCATTCATGGTGAGCAGTCATGTTCGAGCAGAAGAAAAGACAGAAAGAAAAGAGCTGGAGGGGAAGAAGTTGGTTCGGCACTCTTCAATCATGTGCTTCGGGCAGGGTCCGGGGTAGATTACCGAATGTAATCCACATACCAGCCCACCCAAAAGCATGGTATGGTATTACCGACGATTGTTCTGTTTGCAGCCCACCGCGAACCCCCTGAGCGGGAAGTTGTGCATCGTTGATGGTGGAGCTTCAACACGTCTCAATTTCCCTTTTTCCTCTCTTCTGTCTCTCTCTCTCTTTTCTCTCTCTCTGATTTCTCTCCTCCCCTGCTTCTACTTCCCATTCCCTCTGTGGTGTTCCATACTGACACCTTCAATGAACCCTTAATTACTTGTTGGCTTTGTTGGTGGGGACTTATATCCAGCGCTTTTTCTCCAGTTACCGCCTTGTGGACTTTCTCCAACTACTCCCAGCCGAATTATTTCTTGACCTGTCGCCTTCCTTCCCATACCCTCGTCTCTCTTCTCCGGGTACCACCCAGACAGCTGTTTCTCGCTTCCCCGAAATGGACCGGTAGCCGCCCATTCAACGGGTCGCGCAGCATTGTTGCTCAAGCCTCTCCTATTCGCTTTGTTGACAGGCTGCTCCTGAATGCAACCCTTACGACCGGACCCTGCTAGAGCAGTTCCCCGGATTCCTCACCTTTTGACAGTATCGCCTGCACCGCGTCTCGCGGTAGGGTAACCTTGGATCTTTGGACAATGCCGGCCAAAACTTCGCAGGCTTCGGGGAGGGGTCATACTAGCAAAGTTCAATCCCGCTCATCCAATCCGTCGAGAAACGATGACTCGGGATCCGGAGGTAAGAACATTCTGCGGGAGGCTGCAGCTGGATTCTGACGAAACAAAATAGTAGACGCCCCGGCTCGGCGGCGCTTGCAAAAAGCGGCCTCCACCACCTTCCACTCCAACGCCTCGTCCAATGCGGACTCCCAGTCCTCCATGGATGCGGCAGGTCTACGTGCAGGGGGAATGAGTAGTAGACGACTATCGATTCGGGAGAAGATCCCCCAGGGCCCGCGACCGCAGGAGTCATCGCGGTGGAGGTATGGTTTTTGATGCTTTGCTCGCCCCTGATCACCTGGGTGGTCCAGCACGCCAGAACAATGTTGACACTCTTACTACAGCAAACCCACCGGCCCTTATTTCCATTCCGAAAACTCCTCTGTCGATTCCACGAACAATTCAACAAAAAACCTTTCCCTCCGGACGGCGAGTGTGGGAAACGTGTCAAGCCAATCCCCACCGGAGCCCACAGAATTCCTAGCCCCAATCAACTTCGATGACTTCCACAACAGCATCATGGCCGAGCCAAGCTTGAACCATTTCCCCATGCCCGGAAATAGCGGGACGGGGTCTGAAAATCGCGACTCGAGCTTCTCAACCAACAGCACCTGGACGAACAATAGCTACGACAGCAGTAGTATTTCGGAGCGGACAAAAGCTTCCTCTCGTCGCAAGAGTGAAGTATCTCGTCTCAATTCGCAGAATCAGATCCCAAACCCCGGGTTATCAGCTTCATCTGCCAACGCCCGCACTCGCCGTCAGAGCTCTGTTCAAGCAGCAGCAGCAGCAGGGGCCGCTACGTCTTCACGAGGGTCGCGAAAATCTATTGGCGGTGGTGCATTTGCGCCCACGAATGCGTCGGCGAGACGCGCCAGCCTAAGTGCTCGCAAAGCTAGTACGGATACAACTCGGACGGAGTCGACCAATAATTTGCTTCTTCCCCGGGCCCAGCAATCGGAGTTTAATGATGGGGCCAAAGTTCCAACCTCCATTCGAAGTCTCAAAGCAAAGTCCTTCCAGCCCGGTCCACGAGAGCCTCGGGGGAATTTCTTGACCGCATCTGGGTCTGCGTCAACCCCCGATCATTCACGTTCTTCTTCTACTAATGCTGTGCGAACACCCGTCCGGAACGCTTCCGGAGCGCCTGGCACCCCCTCCTCATCGTCCAAGCGCATGTCTGTTATGCCATCGCATGCCACGGGGCTGGGCGCTCGCACCATCAGCCCTACAGATGCTCGGCGGATGAAGCGAATGTCGATTGCACAGCCGGCTCCTCCAATGCCAAACACGCCCCCAACGCAGACGGACCCTCTCCCAACCCGTCCGCTGTCATCAACTATGTCTCCGTCTTTCATCCCCAGGAAGAGCGTCACCCCTTCCTCCAACCGAACAACGCCAGACCCGAACCGCAAGTCTTACAGCTCCGGGCTTTCCGTTTCATCCAGCACCAGCTACAATTCGGT